TACCGATTTTGTTTTGTTTATTTTATTATGGGAAAAAAACAGGAAATACCATTCAAGAAGGTGTAAAAAATATTATTTATGCCACCCTACTTAGATATAAACAATTATCATTCAATTAATAAAGAGAAAACAAAACGCCGCAATGCCACCTAATTTTTTAAAATAATATAAATAATAAACTTGCATAAAATGATTTTGTTTTGTTTATTTTATTATGGGAAAAAAACAGGAAATACCATTCCAGAAGGTGTAAAAAATATTATTTATGCCACCCTACTTAGATATAAACAATTATCATTCAATTAATAAAGAAAAAATAAAACGCCGCAATGCCACCTAATTTTTTAAAATAATATAAATAATAAACTTGCATGAAAAATCATGAACTTTTCTCTTCTATTATTACTAGTTAAAAACATGCACCCCGCACGTGCATTACTAGTAACTTTTTGAAACAAAAATTTAAAATTTCTTCTAAGATGTAGTTTTACCTATTTACTATCATCTTAGTAGTTGAGTTTATATATATAAAAAAAAAATTAACAGATCACATTTAAAAGGGGGAAAAGTTTTTAATGAAGAAAATTAGAAAGTAAATTATTTATGGGGTACTGTCGGGGTCTGGTAGATTTGGAGGGTTAACGTGTCGGGAGTTGATACGCGTAAGCAAACGGTTTGTTCGAAGCGGATCCGATGTGGCCGAGCTTCGAAGTAGATTATGATGGCGGGAACTCCGACGAATAAGTGAGGTCGGTTAGGCCTAAATTAGGCTGAAGGACGCGTGTCCTAAGATCCTCTTTGTTGCTGAAATGCCAAAATGACGAAAATGAAGAATGGTGGGAGGCGCGACCAAGTAGTTGACGGAGATGGAGAAAAGGAAGCCATAGGTGCTTTGATAGAGCAGTGCTCTGGAGACAAGCACGAGCTGCTCCAATAGCGAAGGTGGATGAGGCTAGGAGGAGAGTGAGAGTGGAGTTGGTGAGGTGGATAAGGCTTTGGTGAAGAGAACTCCAAGAGCAGCGCGTGTTGTTCTAGACGTGAGAACGACGCCAGAGCACCTGCTCTGACGGTAAGCAGAAGTGAATTTGAAAATGAAGACTTGAATGTTGCCGGAAAATGTGTGAAGAAAGTTTGAAGAACTTTGAGGTGGTTGTGGAAATAGATCAAAAAGCGTATTGGGAGAGTTTCTAAGGCGGTTAACACTTGGAAACTTTGAAGGGCTTGAAGAACTTCAAGTCTCTGTAGTAAGAGACTAAAGAAGTCTAGAGAGAGTGATATGAAGAGAGTGACTTGAGGGAGAGCTTATCGAAGATGATTTGTCGTCAGTGATGGTTGAAGATTCTAAGTTTTGTTTCCGCCCATATTGGAAGCTTAATGTGATGTCTGGAGCAGATTGCTTTTATTAAGGCAGAGCCATAGTGGAGTTTAGTCCGATGAAGCTGCTAACCCCTGCCGTTGGAGCAGGATCTGGGAGGTATATACTGAGTCTGCTCTGTTCTTTGCTATTGCTCCGGCATGGCTGCCAGCCGATGAAGAGAAGAAAAGAGAGATGTATCTTGTGACACTTTACAATTTGCAGAGATTCAAGCGTCAGTTTGGATTGGATCAGGATGCGCCGGAGGAGGCTACGAGGTTCCATAGGCAGGAGACTTCATTTCTGAGTGGTAGTGCAGTGGATGTCTCTGGTCCGAATAGGAGTTTTTAGGTACCTTCGCAGCGAAGAGAAGGCCTCCGTTTAGACTCATATGATCGGTTTTGGCTACGCCAGTTGGAGAGCATTGCAATCTTCTATACTTTACCAGTTGACAAGAGAGAGCCTCCATTCCCTCATTATCTCGCCTCAAACATGAAGAACCCAGCTTCAAAGGCGATGACAGATTTCACGAAGAGATCAGGTTTGCATTACCTGTTCGAGGATGAAAATGGCGGTCAAGAGTACGGGGTCCGACGGAGAAGAGGAAGGCGGTGGAGACAGGATGCGACTGAGGCAGTCACAGAAGAAGAAAAGTAAACCTGCCAAGTCAAAGGGCTCTTTGTCGAATGTCATGGTAGCACTCGCAGCCAAATGGAGCGCAAGGTTAGTGCTAGTACGGAGACTACTCCGGAAGGCTCCTCTAGTGGAGGAAGTAAGATGAAGGTTCCTGTTGTCACAGCTTCGAAGGAAGTCGTTGGGGTAAAGAGCAAGGAAAAGAGGAGAGACACTCCTAAAGCAACTGGATCTGCTCCGAAAGAGGTTGTCAAGAGCCGTGCTCAGCCGAAGAAGAAGGAAGTCGTTGCTGCCCATACTGTTGTCGAGTCTGCTCCGTTAGAGACTCCAGAGGGCTCTGCTTCTCTACTTTTGAAGAAGTTCGTCCAACCCGAGGTTCCCAGAATAGTAGTATCACCGGTCTCGGGGGTTGCCTTCGAGACCTAGCCAAATGTTGTTGTGGAAGATGTACCACCGGCTGCGGAAGTTGCTTCTGGAGCCCAGCCAAGTTTAAAGTCTGTTATTGGTGACGTTCCGCCGGAGGATGTTCCCGAGGGAAGGAAAGAAAAGTTAGCGTCTGTCGCGCCAAAGCCGCTGTCGGAGGGAGCCTCCGGGGGCAAAGTCAAGCCTATAGCTGTTGTGCTAGTTTCACAGATTCCTCCAGTAGAGGCTGCTGGAGAGGATAAGAGAAAGCAAGAAGAGTAGGGAGACGTCCGGAGCAATGGAGCCGTGCCCGAATCTGCTCTGATGGATGCCTCCGATGGTGAGGATAGCCGGGAGCTCATGGATATGGGCCTTAACCAAGTATGTATCATTTCTCGTATTGCACAAGTCATGAGCATAGAGAGATATGGACCGAATCTGTAGTGTATGATGAAGAGTTATGTAGGATGTAGCATGAACGATGTAATAGAGATTTATGTGTTCTAGTTGGAACACTTAGCATGTCATGCGTGATTAGAGCAAAGCCATGTCGCTTTTAGTGTTGGTACAGTATGAGGGGTTGCCACATGTAGTCGGACCGATGCCATGTCGCCACTAGTGTCGGAGCACTTTAGAATCGATTGAGTAGTATGTACGGTCGGGTTGCCACATGTAGTCAGAACGAAGCCGTGTCGCCACTTGCATGTCGGAGCACTTAGTACCACATAGAGTCGGAGCAATCATTAGTCACCACCATTATGAAAGCACTTGGAGGCTTTAAAGAGTAATACATGCAGTCGGAGCGAAGCCGTGTCGCCACTGTCATGTCAGGGCACTTAGAAGTTTAGGCAAGAGCCGAGTGTGTAATGGAGGAGTCCGAGTGTGTTAGCGTATAGCGGTCATTAGATGGTGACGAGGTTTTTTCATGTCTAGTTGTGCTCTAGGAGCGTTCAATGTACTGTAGCAAGTATTATGTGCTCCAGGGAGCATGTTATGAGTTATGGAAAGCCTAAATGTAATGTGCTCTGAAAAGCGTATCATGAGCTATAGCAAGCTTAGGTGTAATGTGCTCCGGGGAGCATGAGTGAGTTCAAAGTGAGCATATGCAATGATTATATATGTTCATGCATACTTCTGAACCGTGGTGTTCTTGGAATTTAAGAGTTCAAGACGGTGTTAGAGGAATTCAAGATTTACGTCATAATCGAACGACGGTAAAATTCTCCTTCTTCTCTTTAATATCTTTGTAGTTAAATTAATATGAAATAATGATCGTATTAAATTTTAATTTATGTGATTCGATCGATACCACGCTTCCGCACAATTTTTTTTGAAAATCCGGTTTGAGAAACCCACAGAGCCTCTTGTAGAGATCTCTGGAGAGGATGGCGTAGTTACAGAGCAGCTTCATGCTTCCCTTCTTCTCGGGAGAAAAGAGTGATTCATGAATGGGGTCCTCCAATCGTCTTGGAGTTCCTCGTCTTCTTCTGGAACAAGGTCCGGAGAGTCCAAAACTGATCAGCTCTTTTTTGTCACGAGGACGTTCAGTTGCTCCATGGAGGTGGACTTGTGACCCGAGGATGGCCTGAGCATCAGCATACCGGTTGGAGGAGCTTGGAGTGTGTTCGATGATGAGTTTCTCGATCTGCTTGACGAGCTGTAGCACGCCTCATGCTCCGAGCTGTTGCACGCCCATCACGAATGCTTCATAGTCAGCCACGTTGTTAGCAGTGGCAGAGCCACTTGAAGATGAGCGGGGGCAGCTGCCACTATTCAAATTTTTTTGAAAAAACATATTACCTTTAAAAATTTTAAAATTTTACACTTAAGTCTCCACTGAAATAATATATGCTCCCATTAAAATAAATATATTTTCTTATATACCCCCACTAAGATAATTTGTTAAAAAAAATTTTAATGTACGCCCCCACTGAAGTGAAAAACTGGCTCCGTCACTGGTTGTTAGTGCATGGAAACATGAGCTGATGAAAGATGGTTGTAGCATGTCCGTCCGGACTAGTGAGCATGATGTTTGCTCGTCCGAGGTGCTGGTGGCGGACGCACCGAAGTGCAAGGTCCAGAAGTCTTCAATTTCATAGAGATTATGATAATTGAAAACTCGTGCTTGCACTATCAAAAGTTAACACTACGATTGAAAACCATCCATTCCTTTCTCGACGACAAGCAAGAAAACAAGAAATTGAAAATCAAGGGGTTGCACTATCATTATTATAAAAATATTGATAATATGATAATGAAGAACCCGCAGTTATAATATCAAAAGTATTTTATATATATATATATATATATATATTGCCTTTTATTTTGGTATATTGACTGCATTATGTAAAACTTGGGGCAGAAGATCTCATATTTAAGGGGGAAAAAAACCTAGTCAACTAAAGTGATTGGTGATTCCGCAAACATATTTCTTAAAACATTTTTATGAAAAGTGACTAACAGAGCAATGTACCACTCTCTATTCTACAAGTTATAATAGAACACAACATTGAGTTTGAGATTTAAACTGGAATTCAAATTTTTTGTATGAAAGAAGACGCTATAACAAAAAGATTTGGATCGTGGTTCAACCGCAGCAAAAAAAGGAAATCATAAGCTTCACACGAATTTGATGTTCAACTGTATTATATTATATGATGTATATGGAGAAAACTCAACACCATAAACATCATTACAATCGTGCCAAATAACATAACAATTGCGTCAATAAAGGTCATTTTTTACTTATGTTCCATCTCGACACAAACATTAATTTTGTAGTAAAACTAAAATAACACAAGAAGGGTAATAGCTAGAATCCATAGTCACAAGTTATGATATATTGATATCCTCCTTTTCAACCTTGTGTTGTCATTTTATTAATCCCTCTGGCACGCACCATGAGTTTGAGTCCACTGTGACCCACATCCATAGCAGAACTGGAATGAACACCTGCAACCAAACAGCATCAAATTTGTCTAACATTTCACCCAAATATCTATATCCAAAGCAATTCCATCCCAAACAAGCATACAAAACAACAAACCAAATCTAAACATTGCTAAAGCAGAGTTGTTGATATGGGGTCTCAAATTTGGTTCACACCTTTTATTGTTACGACGTTTTCTCTCATTAAAATATAAATAAATTTGAATTTTTGTTCAAACCTATGACCAGACGGACCATAAACATTCTTTTACCTTATCAAAATGTTATCGAAGAAACAATTCAACTCCAAAACCATTCCTACTCAAAATAGTAAATAAACAACCAAAATAGAAAAGTTACAAAACAGGGTTACAGAGTAGAGACCAAGATCCCCAAGATGAAAAGTGAACCCATTTGTGCTTGGTGAAAAAGGTTACCAAAGAAACAATCCACTCCAAAACTCCTCCACAAGCAAGTAAACAAAAAACAAGCCAAATTTAAAATTACCACTTCAAACAGAGTTTGGGACATAGAAAATGAAATGAAAATTAGGCCAAGTTCTCGAAGGTGAAAAAACGCACACATCAGCCTTTTTGTGTTCAAAATGTTATGTCCACGATTTTAACTAATGATAACTTTACATGTCCAAAGATTACACAAATTTACACAACAACTTTCACCCAGCCATATTTAGCATTTGATCTCAACACAAAATGTATCTTATAACTAAGTCCGACACACATATTAAACATGTCAATTCTGAGATCAACATATTTGGGCTAACTAACCAAATACAGATAATGATATTTATCATTCTTTTTCAACACATAACATACATTAAAACTCAAAACTAATAGCATATTTTCATGTTAATTCTGAAATCAAACAAGACCAGTTAGGACACAGTGACCAAATACTAATTATAAAATTGATCATTTCTTAACATTAAAATATTATTCAAAAGACAAGCATGTGAAAATGTAAGTTAATTTGTGAATATCATCAATGCTGACCTGCAAGTGATATGCAAACAACCCTCAGTCCTCTCCACATAAAACATGCACTCAGGACACCTCTTCCACTTCTTCTCCTTAGCAATCTCTCTCAACATCAAATCCTCTGTCCCTCTCTCATCCTCATGGAGCCTCCCGAACTCCTCGCAGCCGATCCCCGAATGCCACGGCACGCGACACCGCGCGCAGAAAAGCCTATGGCAAATAGGACACTCCGACTCCACTATAACCTCTCCCAATTCCTCACTATCATCCAACAAAACCGCCGAACAGTCCTTGAAAGGACAATAAAACTTCTGGGAATTTAGAATCAAAGCCTCACAAAGAGAGTCGTCCCATTTGTCCACAACATCTTTCGGCAGAATCTCTCTGCAGGCTTCAAGCTCAAGAACATGCACGTCTTTGCAGTCCAAACCGGGACACGATATCACGCTGTTCAAGTGGGAATATCGGACTTTTGTCGATATGTGTTTGCTTATGCAGTCCGAGCAAAACGAGTGTTTGCAATCGGAACTGTCGTTGGGGAAGATTTCGTCGATGGGTTTTCGCTCAGCACAGATTTCGCAGAAGATCTGCGACGACTCGCCGAGATCTAGTTGTTGTTGTTGTTTGTCGTTTGGGGGCGGGACTTGGATCAGTATTGGTGGTTGTGGTGAAGAGGAAGCAAGTAATACCGAAGAAGAAGATAACGACGATGTTGTCGTTTGAGAAGTATTGGTTGTTATGGACATAAGAGCCTCTTGGAGCTGAAGTTCTTCAGCGTATTTGGAGTCTGATATTGGGAATGGAGATTCATCAAAAAGTACTGAGAAGTAGAAGTCGTCAACTCTGGCCATTTCGGAGGCTGCTGATTCTTGTGCCATTTTTGCAGTGTTTTTTCTCTTTTTTTTTTTTGAACTTCTGACGATTCTTCTACTAGTTCTTGACTTTAGATTAGTGTTTCAGAGCAATTAAGAAATAATGAGTTGGAAGAAAGACTGTTCCTTTTCTTTTGGATGAACAGTTTAGGTAAAGAAGACTTCTGGGAGAAGTGGTTTATTCTGATTGGTGGCCGTTACTCCTTGTTTGAGAAGTAGCACTTTTTCTGTGAAGACAGAAATACCCATGTCAACAAGGCTTATGATTGGACCTTTTTTATTGCCAATGAAAAGTGTTTCAATCTTAAAGTCCAAAAGCAAAAGTTCAATTGGATCCACATTATCTTTTCCAAGGTTTTAATCTTGTATTTTGAAACAAGAAAGTGTGAAACTTTTGAAGAAAATATTTACCTGGTTTATCGTAAAAAGAAGCGTTCTAGGCGGAGTTATGGCACTGCTTCTGAGCGCGCGGCTCTCCACAGTGCGGGCTCAAGATCGGCCGATACGTTAGGCAAGAAGTTTTTAGGAGGCCTTTTTAAATAAAAATGCTAATTTATCAAATTTTGAACACAAATAAATTTATGCAGGGCTATTTAAAAATATACAATCCAATCCAATTCATAAATAAATACTAATTTATGCAGGGCTAGTTTTTAGGGTGATTTTACTCGTACTAGTTTGTGTACATTTTTTTTATGCTCCGTTTGTTTCGAGTGTTTTGGACCATGATTCTTAATTCATTACAATATTTTTTTCTCATAAAAAATTTAAATTTTAAAAATTAGTATCATGAACCATAATTCTAAACTCATAAATTAAACGTCATCTTAGTACCAAACGTCACCTTAATGTTTAGTTGTAATTTGTGTTAGCTGGGTTTGCTTATTGAGGAAATTACAAGGCATGCCTCTGTGAGAAAGAGAGTTTTATGTCATCTCAAAAGGGATATTATCACTATTGTCCTTAAACTATGAGCATAATGATATTTTTGTTTCTCAACTTTTAATTTTGACAAATTCCTCTTTATGAACTTTTTCTTCTTCTTTTTTAAACTAATATTAGTCCTTAGAAGCAGATTTAATATAGATAATCATGTATCCATATGATTACATCGTGTTCAAAATGTTCTATTCACTAACTACGAGTACTAAAACCAGTTGAAAACTAGATTATTTTGCATTTACAGTAATTATGTAAAATTTTCAATCATAATGCGATAAAGATGTAATTATTTATATTAAATTTAAAAAAAATCATTTATTAATTTTAGTATTAGAAATTAAAGCTGATAAAAAAAATAAAAATTAAGGAGGAAATATATCAAAATTAAGGGTAAATTCCACGAATGGTCCCTAAACTCTTTAAAAGGTGACAGTTTGGCCCCCAAGTTTTTTTTGACGAATTGAACCCCAAACTATTTAAAAGGGTGCAATCTAGCCTTTTCCGTCAGATGCCGTCCAAAAATTAACGACAATATAACCTAAAAGGGTGACATTATGGTGCCTTACTTCTTTATGAGATGATTTTTTAGTCCCAATCAACTTTTATAGGTTAGGATTTGGTCCTATTTTTGGACAGCATTTAACGAAAATGATGACATTTCATCCTTTTAAATAGTTTAGAGCTCATTTCGTAAAAAGAAAATAAAAAAATAAAAAAATTAGAGACCAAGCTGTCACATTTTGACAAATTTAGGGACATTCGTGCCAATTAAGGTTCAGTAACTAAAAAAAATCCCTATACTTATCATTAAAGGATTATTAGTGCCAATAATATTTTTCTTAATAAAATATTTGTTCAGGATCCATGGGTTACCATCTAATGGAACTTCATTGTGAGGGAAACCCCATTACTCCATGTATCTATAAGAGAGAGAAAAAAGCCAAGTCAATGCCAAGTCTTGTGCGTCGCCCAAAAAGCAAAACAAGAAGCTGTTCATACTCTTCATTTCACAAAAGCTTTGTAATTATCATTTATATAGTTTTTATCATAAGGAAAACAAAAAATTTTGGGTTTGTTCTGAAAAACTCAAAAAAAAAAAAAAAAAACAACTCGAGTTACAATTTTATTTGAGTTCATGTTCTTTTAAATTTAAACTCGAGTTCAAATTCAAATTTAAAACTAAAACTTTATTTTTAAATATTACCAAGTCAATCTCCTCTCTCTCTCTCTAAAGAATATATGCTCTTTTTAAGAATATATATATACTTTCTCTCTTCTACGCGGAAAAACTCAAATAACACGAAATGACCACTTCATCTTCTTGGAAATTTGTTACACTCCAAAATTCAATTCGATAATTAGGTACACACACGTATAAAAGGAGATTCCTGTTATTGTGTATGAATTTAAAGCTTCCTCCTTCACAACCTAGTTTTCCTCGAAGTCCAAACTTTCATCATTTCTAAGGAAACTTTATTATAAGCTCTTGGAATGGAAGACACAAGGTTTGTCTTAAACCTTAAAATTAAACAACACATATATTTACATGTGTTTATTTGTTTATATATATATATATGTATATATATATTACGTATGTGTTTTGTTGTGAAAGACAGTGAAGCTTTGAGGCACTGGATTTACAAAAGGGAGAGAATAGAAGAGGCAGATTTTCCAGCTTGTTGTAGTTATGGGCCAATCAGTTGGGAAAATCCTTCCAAGTGGCAAGGTGTGATTCTTGGGCCTCCTGGTTCTCCTTATGAAGATGGTGTCTTTTTTCTCTCCATAGATTTGCCTGATGAATACCCTTCCAAGCCTCCCACAATCAAGTTCAAAACTAAGGTATGTTTTCGTAAGATCGTCGATTTTCGCTTTTCTTCGATTTGGGTAGAAATGAATCAAGATCTTTGTTTTTGTGGGGTTTCATTTTCGTTTCGTAGCAAGTACAGATTTTTAAGAGAAAACGCTGTACTAAGAGACATAAAATTATGATCCGAACCTATAAACCAAATATTAATTCTCCCGACTCTCAGTTTCTCTTTCTCACGTAATGATCATAACTTAAGACCTAATAATAATTACCCCTTTCGTTTTGTATCCAAAACAACAATAAATTGAAAGAGTTAATGTGAAATTTCATTCAATTAGGTTGGCAACTAAAGAACTCATGGAATTCCGACCATTTTAATAAGGAAACTAGAAACTGATTACCAAAGAACTTTTATTATGACATTTTATTTTTTTGATACAAGTGCGACATTTATTTGGGAAATAAGTAATCATGTTATCCAAACTCCAGAGAGGCTCATATCAAGTTCTAAAGGACAATAATTTACACCCCTCGTGTCTATCACGTTGGTGCAGCAATACATTTTTCGTCAAACCGCAAGGACTATTATTTTATTACTTCAATTAAATTGTTGATAAGCATTCAGGCTCCTTTAAAGTTTTGCTTCTTTCACACTTGCACGGAAGAATTTTACGGTAATGCATGAAACTTTACTGTGGAGACGTTTGATTCATGGATTAAAATCATGTGATTAGAATCATTTTTTATTTACGTGTATTTTTTATGAGAAAAAATACTGTAACGAACCATGAACCATGATTCAAATCATGGTTTGAATCCTCCAACCAAACATCCCAAGTATTAAAATTAAAACTACATGGTCTCATTATAGACCATTCATTTTTTATTAAATATATTTAAATCCGTGACTTAAAGTTGTTATTTACTCGTGGATTTTCTTTCTTTCTTTTTTCTTTTTATTGAGAATTGTCACAATTTCTTTTAAATTTTTTATTTGACCTAGTGTAAAGTTGGAGTAGTGTAATATATTAGGGTCTGTTTAGTTCTCTGATTTGAGTTTTTAATTTGAGTTGAGATGTGACTTTATGTAAGAGCTTTTTACTGTAGTAAAAAAGTTATAGTTGACTGTTTCTGAGAGCTTTTTATGGTAGTAAAACTCGAATTCTAAACTCGAATCAGTGAAATAAACAGGACCTCATTGTATCATAGTTAAAGAAAACACATGGGAATGTAATAACCTAGTTTAGAGCCCACATCCCATGTGGCCGCTCTAGTAAAATGCCCAATTCTCTAGGTCCATCTTTGTTGAAGAAACGCTAAAGAAAAGTAACACACTTTTATTTCAACCACAGTTTTCCATGGTTATATATATTCACAGAAAATGCTTGTCAAGAGATAGGTATGAGTTTTCTCATCGCGGGTCTCATTTTCTAACATTCAAATCGTTGGATTAACTCGAGACTCTCATACTTGGTATAAGGATAAGAAATTTCTAGGATAGGGTTTGAAAAAACGAACTATTAATATATTTCTAAATTCTACTTATATGTGTATTATTATGATGTTATTTTAATAAGATCTAAAGGTTATAAATGTCCAGAAAAGGTAAGGACTAAAAATAGAAGATTTTTTGTTAAAAGATTTGTTAAAACCATTGAATCGTGTCGGATTATAAAAAGTACCCAACTTCATTGGATTAAAACCCTATCATTCAAAAATAATCTCACCAATTAAACCAGTATTTATGAGTGATGAGGATTGTGTACTATGTTTTTTGAATATATATACTGGTGTAAAATTTTCCATTCAAATCAATCAACATCATGTTCTAAATCTTGTAGGAGACGTTTGGTTCATGAATTAGAATCATGTGATTATAACCATTTTCTATTTACGTATATTTTTTGTGAAAAAAAACGCTGTAGTGAACCATGAACCATAATTCAAATCATGGTTTGAATTCTTCAACAAAACGTCCTCGTAATCTGGATTAGCTTGGCTATATATTTTGCTTGTTTCATACTTCAAATAACTGACAACAAAACTGAGCAGGTTTTCCATCCAAACATCGACGAAGATGGGACAATTTATGTTGACATTCTAGAAGAAGACCAATGGAATCCCATTCAGACTATTGAAACCCTGTTGCTTTCCATATGCTCGCTCCTAGCAGATCCTGACCCAGTCGACCCTTTCTATTTCAATAGAAGTTGCTATCTGTACCAAAACGACTGGGAAGAATACAACAAAACAGCCAAAGAATGGACCAGAAAGTATGCAATGGGACAGTTTGACGACGACTTGTATAAGGTTGTAACGACATAATTTGGATCTTCGGAGAATTCTGTTTAATTGGGGCAAAAAAAGGTTCGAGTACTGCTGAATACTGTTATTATGTTAAAAATGAGTGAGAACAATATGTGGATATGATAAAACTAATTTCATGTGTAAATTTGTGTTGTTGGGTATTGAAGTCACGTTAGGGAACCGAGTTTCGATGGCCCGCCATTTTGTACTGAGAAATTAAGTGAGCTTTCTAATTTTAGGTTTCTCGGGTAATCCTTCCTTAGCGGTAGTTCCAGATTTAGACTGTTGGATCTGATTAAAATCAAATTAAACTAAAAAAATATACATAACAGATAGAGTCTGATTTAGAACTATATAATATAGCTCTTTCTACTGTCATCGGAACTTGTTTTTTAGGAAAATGGCCAGTGGCCTTTAAAATGCATGATGCGTTAGTGAACCACGAAATCAATTTTAATAATGGATCGGTAAAGTCATTAATTGATATTATTTAAATTTTTTAAAAAAATTCTAGTCAATAGATGAATTTTTACAATAAGAGTAATTTTATTTTTATGTGTCTAAAAAATAGCTCTGATGTACAAAACAAATTTTTCTAAATGGTCAAAGTATTGACATAAAATTTTTAATAACATAGCGTATCAAACTCAAATTTTGATATAACAAAAGGTACCAAAATAAAAATTTTCCTATGTAGAGAAGAAATAAGAACATTATTGATTGTATATGATGACGAATTAGATTAGGATTATTTTAATATTTAAATTCAATTTAGGATTATGTTTATCTTTTTGTTATTTTAAATTTATTTATATTTATCTCTTTTTTGACTAGGATTATATTTCATTCTCTATAAATAGATTAGTGATTGTTATTTTTATTTAGGTTTTTTATGATTAATGATATTGAGATTATTGGTTTATCTCTCTTGAGTTGTTATTCTTCTTAAATTTTTATCTCTCTCTTGATTATTATTCTCTATCTTGATTTTATTTCTCCTTTTTGATTACATTCTCTCTTTAAATTTTATCTTTATTCTTCAATTCTTCCCGGTTCTACATCAATTAGTATTAGAGTCAAGTTGTGAGCGAAGTCGTATCGTTTGACTCAATGGTTGCGTTTGAAACTCGTCTCAAAATGATTTTATTTTTTATATGAAAATGAAAATAAAAACGTTTTCAATCTTAGACAAAAATTATTTTTGAAAATACGTTTAGTAGTTTTATCCAGAAATTATTTTCAGTATAAAAAAAATCATTAATATTTCTATCTCTTTCTCTCTGCTCGAGAGAAGAGAAAACCAAAACAAAAAATGAAAAACGACTAAAAGTCGTTTTTCATTTCTCTCTCATTTTACACTAAATTAAAAAAATCATTTTCATTTCTGTTTTTTGTCTTTATCGTACCAAACACCGTTTTAAAAACGTTTTTATTTTTTTCTTAAAAAATATAAAAAAAAAATAAAAACGGAATCAATTCTAAACACGGCTAATCTATCTTTGCTTTTTCGTTCCACAAAAATCTTGTCAAAAAAAATAAAATAAAAAAAATGAACTACTTTTCCTAAGCCGCGCAAATCTCTTCAACGCTGTTAAGCCGCACAATGTCAACACAGACCCACAAGCACCAGAGACGTATGTGATAGCACCACAAAAATTGAAGGAAAAAAAAAAAAAAAAAAAAAAAAAAAAAAAAAAAAAAAAGAAAAAAAAAAAAAAAAAAAAAAAAAAAAAAACAGAAAAAGAGAAAGTGGCCCTTTACATGCCGCAGATTGCCACACAAGGTTATCAGTGGACATCAAATTTGGTTCCCAGATTCAGTACCATGATTCAAAATTATTTTTAGTTTACGTATATTTTTTATAAGAGAAAATATTATAGCGAGTCACGAATTATGATTCGAACTATGACGCGAATCCTCATACCAAACACCTTTATTTTGAAAAAAATTTTATAATCTTCTTAGGTTGTAATTTAATTATGAGTATTGGATCCATTTAAATAAAAAGAAAAATCATGAATTTTTCAGTATAGTACCATTATCATGACTCCTATTTTGATAAATAATTTACCTGAGAATTCTTGTGAATATATGGATGATTATGTGAGAGTAATAAATTACTACAAGTATCTCTCAGTCTAAAATACTCCTTGTAAAATTGTTATTGAGGAGGGTAGTGAGGTTAATTATGTATCAACTAAATTTGTCAACCGTTTGAATTTTTATATTGAGCCTCATCCTAGACCGTTTTGAGTATATTAGGAAGATAATTGTTATTTTGTAATCACTGAAAGATATCTATTACCTCTTAAATTTGGTCCTTGTGAGATATATGTTTATTGTGATGTCCTTCATATGGATGTTACTAATATTTTATTAGGATTTTTTTGGGTTGATGATCATGATGTGAGATATGCCGAAGGGAATTAATGGGTGCGTTTGGAACTCGTTCTAAAATGATTTTGTTTTTGTATGAAATGAAAATGAAAATGTTAATCATTTTTAAAAATGCGTTTAGTAGTTTTATTAAGAGATTATTTTCAGTATAAGAAAACCCATTAAGGTTTCTCTCCCTCTCTCTCTACTCGAGAGAGAAGAAAACGAAAATAAAAAATGAAAAACGACTAAAAGTCGTTTTTAATTTCTATCTCATTTTACACTAAACCAAAAAATCATTTTTATTTCCGTTTTTTATCTTTATTGCGCCAAACGCCGTTTTGGAAACATTTTCATTTTTTCTTTCTCAAAAAACGTAAAAAATAAAAACGGAATCAATTCTAAACACGACCAATATGTTTTTCGACATAATGAGAAAACGTTGAAACCTGTCAAACGAAAAGCAAAATCCTATGTGTATGAGCCTATTATCCATTCCTCAATTTCTAGTCAGCCAAACCAATCTATTGAGAGTGATGATGCTAAAGATGAGGTTGTGACCAAAAACAAAACTATTGACACACCTATTGTTGATGAGCCACCTCCTCCATAAACAATCAAACCCAATTCCTCCAAGTATGTTGTTGACATTGGATCTAATGCATATTGACAAAAATTTGTTTTTAATTTGATTATGGAATTAATTTTTAATGAGGTAGAATTGTTTTCTAACTATGGTGATCAAAAGTCTCGATTGTTCTTGATGTTTTTCTATAGCTAGAATGTCTCTACAATCAATTTGCAAGCACCGATGGCTCGTTTTAGAATCCGGTATTAAAACCGAGAGATTCTTGCTTTTCAGATTGTTGCTTTATGACTCTTTCCAATTTAAATCGAATTTCTTCAACTCAGGGAGAATGATGACAAATTATATTAGAATTATTTTAATATTTAAATTCAATATAGGATTATGTTTTTTTTAATTATTTTAAATTTATGTATATTTGTCTCCTTTTTTGAGTAGGATAAGATTTCATTCTCTATAAATAGATTAGTGATTTTATTTTTATTCAGGCTTTTGATGATTAGTGATATTGAAATTATTGGTTTATCCCTCTTGAGTTCTTATTCTTCTTAGATTTCTATCTCTCTTGATTATTCTTCTCTATCTTGATTCTATTTCTCCTCTTTGATTACATTCTCTCTCTAAATTCTATTTATGTTTTTCAATTTTACCCAATCCTACATCAATACATTTCCATTGCATCCTAATCATGAGTCAAAATAATTACATGGGCATGATTTTAATAGATGGACAGGAGGGTATAACAATTACTGGTGCTAAGACCCTCTACTAGTTATGTTGTTGGAAAATTTTATTGACACACTAAAATTTTATTAAGGCGCCCTAATATATTTAAAAAATTCTAATTATTTTCTTTTTAAAACTAAAACCCTTTATGATTTCATGAATACCCCTATGTACATCTCATAATTTTTCACTTTTAAAAAATAGTTTCTTAAAAGATTCACTTTCCTTATTTTTTAGTTGAATATTTTCATTTAGCGCATTAAAAAAAAAACTTCCATTGCATCATTCTTCCCCACGTAATTTGTGAGGTTGAAGAACAAAAATGCAGATAGTTTTCGATCGTTTTAAGTGATATTGAAAAAATCATCTATCCTAACTTTTTTCCCTAAAATCTAATTAAAATTTTCAATTCACCGAGCAATTATGGAGCAAGATGTGAAAGTTTCATCAAGTTTTAATGTATATTTTTTTTCCTCTCTCGTTTGTATTTTATTTTATTGAAGTTGTTGGTTTTGATTTTTGATTTCTAATTATATTTTGTAGGACGAAGAAGATGAACGCATTAAGAATTTTTACTCAATCCTAAAACTGTGATTGATGATGATGATAATAGTAGAGCTTAGTCACGTGAACATAATCAAGAAATTTGGAAAAAAAAAAAAAAATTTGCAAAGTTGTTAAAATAAAACAAGCAAAAAAGGAAAGAAAAGGAAAAAAATCATTACAAAAAAAAAAAAAAAGAGAAACCGTTCAAGTTCAAATAAAAATAGCAAAAAGGAAAGAATAGAAAAAAAAAATAAAAGGTTCAAGTTTAGGGGGGAAAAAATATCTCATCAAGTTTAAATGGGAAGAATCATATCTCACCCAAAAATAAAATAAAAGTAAATATTTTTAAGAAACAAATTTTTAAAAGTATATAAGTGTGGGACGTACATAAGGGTATTTTTGGAACTATAAGATAAAAAGAGAATAATTAAAATTTCTAAAAATGTTGGGGTGCCCTAATAAAAATATTGGGGTGTCAATAAAATTTCTCTATGGTATTTAATACGGTAGTGTCTCAAGCTCCTTTATTATTATTATTTTTTTGTTCTGAAGGTCGTAAATCTACACTTGTGATTGGACTACAAATTTTGTGTGTTGGGCACACGTTTGGCCTATCGAGGATGTTTGGTACCTAGATTCATTCTTTAATTTGAATCATGGTTTGTGGTTCGCTACAGTATTTTTTCTCATAAAAACTACACGTAAATAAAAAATAATTCTAATCACATGGTTCTAATTCATGAACCAAACGTAAGCTTTTGGGTGATTTAGACATATGGTCAAATTACAACTCGAGGATTGAAATGTGGATATCTCATCAATGGCTTAATTCTATAATGATATTTAATAACTTATTATGTAATTACATTATTAACCTTATAATGATATTTTTGTTTTTTTACTTAATCTAGACGTTGCTCCACATTTTTCTCACATTTTGTGAGATATCTACCTTTTTAAA